AAGGGAGACGGGTTTGCCCCCCCCGCGAAGAGCTTTCTTCCCAAACCGATTGGGGGGGGGATGATCTCCAAATAAATAAGGGTGCATGCACTTCAAGGACCGGGGGGGGTTTGCAATTGTGCCCAGGTGTGTATGGCGTGCAGAGGATTCCCGGTGTGTGTGTGTGTCTTGATTCCCAAGTGCACCTTGGACTCCAAGGTGCTCTCCTTCCAAGTAAGCAAGGATGCGTCTCTTTCAAAGGATCCTTACTCCCCAAGGGAGTCCCCGCGAGGCTTCCCGGGGGGTTTGCTCCCTGTTTGTCCACGACCCCTTTCCCAGGTCGGAAGGGCTTTTGCTAGTCGTGTGAGTGCGATCATCATCTTAAGCCTTATTGTTTTAAGCAGTTTTGCACGGCTCTTGGAGCCAAAGCAACTCCCCGAGCAGCCTACGGAGATGAGACATCCGAGAGGACACACTCACTGTGCACAGCGGGTTGCAACCTGATCCCGACGTAAACTTGTTTATTTTAAAGTCAAGCCCGACTCATTAAACTCAGTGTGGCTTCCTCGCCAAGTCACTAAACACAGAATTGCGGCAGTGTCGACAGTAAGACTCATTGAGCTCCGACAGGAATCCCTTGCAAATACAGTAAATACCTGTAGGAATGCAGCATGCCTTGCCGTCTGTTGCCTTTTTATCCTTCATATTTTTCTATGCACCACGTTCTTTTCATTCCTCTGTTGTCATTTTGCTCCCCATGCCTTTTTCCTTCTGTGAAGCCCAATCCTGTGCATGTTTTCCCTCCTTGCTGTGCACAGGCTTGCAGTTTGTGGTGGGGGTTGTTTTGCAGCAGGAGGAGTTCAATGAGACCAACTCACACTAAGGAGGTGTATCCTTCACCCCTTTTATTCCTGGGTCTGAAGCTTTAGTCCTCCAGGTGTTTTGAACTACCTCAGCCCCTTACTATTGAGGCTGCAGGTCAGTAGTTTTGGAAGCTGAACTGCAAAATATCTGACTTGGCCAAAGTTGGCCACCCCTTCTCTGTTCTGTTGGCCCTTTATTAGATTTTCTTCATGCTTTCTTTTCAACAGCAATACAAGTCTAGAATGCATGGAATCTGAAATATGATAGGGTGAGAATCTTTCTCCTAGTTGTGTTAGTTTAGTAAATATACTGTACTGTACTAGCTTTCTTTTTTTAAAAAAAAATTTAATAAGAGGAGCATTTAAGTTACCCAGAATTGTCGAAAGAATGTCCAGTATTTAGTGTTCAGTTTATTTTATAAGACACTTTATTGAAATACAATAAAACAAACAAAAGCCAGGGCTTGAAAAAATTGATGGCTACAAAGCAGTTTGGGATACTGGAACTCTTCAAGTCTGTTTTTTATATTACAGTGAGAATTCTACAGTGACACATACTGTACCAAAAACAGAGGCCTAAATCCAACTGCTAGTGCTAGTGGGAAGCAATGGAATTCACAGCATAGCTCAGTGATTTGGGAGTGCAGTATCTGGTGGTGGAACGAGGGGTTGCTAGATAAATTTTCCCCCTGTGCCTTCCAGGAGAAGCAGCCTTTCGCAAGCTATACATTCCCAGAGTGCCTCCCAAAATAAGGGACTGGTAAACCACTTCTAACTAGAAAATCCTGGAAAGTCACCATAAAGTCGAATCAAAACATATGAGCTTTCTCGATATACTGTATCCCCTTATTTGTAATAATACTGTAATAACAATTGTGTGCTGACCCTTTCTTTGGGTTTGTAGTACAGAGTGCTCAGAAGTGGTTTACCAATAACTACTTCTGGTAGCAATTCTTGCCCAAGATTACACAGGCTGGCAGTTTTCCAGTGAGGAATCAAGCTCCCAACCACCAGATACATTATTTATCCCTTCTCCTCCAAAGAGACACAAGCCGAGATTTCAGTCATAACAAGACTGAAACGGATACAGATAAAAAAAATAGAAAGTAGCAATGCTCAGGAAACACTTTAAACATTTATAATAATACAACACAAATAAATTGAAAACATTACTGGGAGGAACCATACAGTCCTCGAAGACTCAGCCCGTGTGTTTCTAAATCCTCTTGCTTGGTGTTGAATGTTGCAACTAGAGCAAGCCCACGTAATGAGTGTAGATTTCGTGGGCCAACTTCTCCGTCAATTCCACTGACTCAATGGACCTACTCTGATGGGGACTTGCTATGCAACAGGATTTCGGCCACAAATTTAGATACATGTGCATTGATGTGTTTATGTATCTAGGCAGGTCCACAGACTAAGGCCCGTAGGTACACACAGGTAACGGATGCATACATACATAGGCGGACAGACAGAGTGATCGAGGTAGCAAAGGAAATACTACAGTAACACAAAAATATCTATACAGTAGATCTCTTTCTGCGTACATACAAAAGGCGGCGGGGCCTCGGAGAAGAGCGCCGAGAGCAGGCGGGCGGCCCCCGGGCAGCCTTCCCCACTA